AAATGAGAGGTATTTCCTATATACACAAATGACAGGAGAAACTCAGACTCTCTTTTGATGAACTATCATGGTCACTTCATACTTATATTTAGTGTTCTTCTTGGAAGAGGAGGATATAATTAGAGAACAGCCTTTTTTCAGTCTTGCATGCTTTGTGTGAGAGCTTGGCTTTTTCACATGCTGTGTCCCAGTTAGGAGTTTGGGACTCTTTCTCTATGCTGACTTGATTCCTTGACTGTAAATCGCTTATATGCAATAACATATGGTAACATAGTCAATAGACATGATTGTGGTTGCAGTTAGCTGCCAAAGGCTGGGATAGTAAATACATGAGACAGGAAGGAATGTAAGTACTCAGAACGGATTAACTGAAACATAAATTAAGAAGGCAGTATAAATGAAAATACTATATTGAAGAAAGAACTAGGAGCTCATTAAACAGTAGCTGATTTTAAAGATGCTTTGTGTAGAACACAGAAATAAAGAAATAAGAAAGAGGAAGGTTATCCAGTGACCAGATGGGGCATAAAGCATAATGGGGAAAAAACACTATCAAGTTAAATATGAAAGAAAGCAGCATTCCACTTGTGATAGAACCTCACAGATGACACTGTTGCTGGGCTTTTTTCCTTAAGATATTTGAACTAGGTGACGTTGACTGCATCCAGTTTACTACTTACTCTTTTCCTATAAACAATAAGCTTTAAGTTATATGTTGATTTGAATTTCATTCAGTGTCTTGTCAAATTAAACACTAGTTTTTTCACCATTTCCTTATCCCAGATCTAGTATTGTCTATAATAATATAAAGAAATTACAATATCAATTGGAAAATACATTATTTTGAAAAATGAAATCATATTTTTCTCTTTCTATTTTGAGCTAGATCATTATTCTGGATCATAAAAAGAAAACTGATCATATTTCTTTGATCACTTTATTGCAAAGTCTGTCTTAAAGACTTCATATAAAAATGTGAAATTTGTCAACACTTGTGTTCGTCTTTGCAGCAGCTTATTATTGCTGCTGCTCATCTTGGCATTTTTAATGTTATCATGTTCCAAACATTCCAGAGCTTAAAAGTAAAGGTGATTTTCTAATTACCGAGGTTTAGTAATTCCTCCCTTGATTTTCTGCAGCAGCCTACTCTGAGAATGACAAGTCATTGACAGAGAAGATTCTTGCAAGCAGAAACTTTTCCTCCAGTTAAATCTTTCTCCCGGCTCAGTCTAGACACAATATTTTAGATCTTTTTCATGAGCAGTGTGGATAAAATGGGGATTGAGTCAAAGGGAACAGCAGTGCAAAGGCCGTGCACTTTTGCAATGAAGAGTATTTATTTGGCTGTCAATGTAAAGTGCGGCTTTAATGGTTGTGCTCTGTCTTCTTGAGGCTACAGCAGAAGAGGTATGGGATGGATGGAATCAGTTCATAGTCTGGGCATAGTCTATTTAGACTAAATAAATGTAAACAGTGGGAGGCAGATGAGGGATGTAACAGCCTAAATAAAAATTATAGTAGGACGAGTTTTTGTGGCATCAAACTCTACTTTAGGAAAACAAAGTTATTTTTTTTTCTTTGTAGTAGGTTAACCTTCTACAGATTCTGGTCCTTCCCCCCCAAGCCACTTTCTCACTCCTCCTCAACAGGAGGGGGAGAAAATTAGGAAAAGCTCATTGTTCATGATAAGGATAGTGAAATCAATTACCAGTTGCCCAAGTTAAACAGACTTGACTGGGGTAAATCAGTTCAATTTATTGATGTTTAAAAATATAGTAGGATAGTGAGAAAAAAAGACAAAACTAAACCCACTCTTTTCCCTTCTTCTACCTAGGCTCAACTTCACTCCTTTATTCCCGACTCTTCTATTTCCTCAAGCCCCAAGTGGCACAGTGCCATGGGGAATAGGGGATAGGGTTAGTTCATAACACTCTTTGCTGCTCTTTCTTCCATGTGCTCTTCCCTGCTTCAGCGTGGAGTCCCCACAGGATGCAGTCCTTCACAAACTGCTCCAGTGTGGACCAAGCTTCAAGAACTGTATCAGCAATGCTCTGTTCCAGTATGGATTCTCTCTGGGCCAGAGAGCTCTGTGGGCTCCTCGCCATGGGCTGCAGTCAATTCCAGAAACCCCTCTTGATGTGGGCTTCCAGCATTTTTATCTTTTCTTAATTATGTAATCACTGAGGCGCCACCAGCATCACTGATAGGCTCAGCTTTGGGGACCTAAATGGGGGAACTGAAGCCACCTGGCAGCTCCTCTGCACTCATCCTAGCAAAGTCTTTCCACATAAATCAAATATAATCTTGAGAAAGTTCTTATAATTCAGTTGTTACTGAATTGACATTAAAACTTCTCTGCTTTTTAAGATACTTATGGAACTAGGAAGAAGATGTCCATGTACTAACCAGGAAAAAACAAGTTATGTTCACAATGACACAAGGACTAAAACGGAATATGGCTTACTGCCTGTGGATAAATGGCTATGGCACTTAAACGTTTTTATTTAAAACACCTCTCAAATTGTATTGCTATCTATACTCTGTTTATAAGAACCATTTCAAATAAAAATTGCAAAAATTGGTTGCTACAGACAAAATTTCTACTCATTTAATATTTTTCCACTTGAAATATGGACAACACAAGCAATAAATGCAGGCCTTTCAATTAATTTTATTTCTTAGGGATTTTTGTTTTCAAAAAGTATATAATTGAACATTTTTTGATCCCTTTTTCCTTTAATTTGCTTCAAAAGGATAAAAAAAACACAAACCAAATGCTACTGGGTTCTTAATTTCTTCTGCCTGAATGATAGTCACTGTGTGCCACCTCAAGGTTTAAGGAAGCAGATGCAGAAGTTTCCATACATGCTTGTACAGCTCTGAATCAGGAGGCAACAAACAATGTTGACAGGACAGGTCAAGTCTAAGAAACATGGGAAACTTACCCTCAAGCACTGCAGCCAAATATAGAAAGAACTTACGTATTTGACAGTTATTTTTAAAGATTCCTGTAATGTGAGTCCTGTTACCTTTGAAAGAAAATAAAAGGCACAGACAGATGCAAGCACAAAATAGGTCTTTTTCCTCCACTGGACTTCCAAAACTGACACCATGTTTTGCAAAACATCAATGGAACAACTGTTTGTGTGAATAATATTGATACAAAAAATGTCTGCCGAGGTTGTTAAAGAAGGGTATGTCAGAGTTAGGAGATGAATAATTCCAGTTCTCTAAAACAAATGATTCTAAAGAATTCAACAAGTTCCCCATTGCACACATTCCATGAGTTTATGCAAGGTTGCTGTCAAGGGAAACTGTGAATGTGCAGGTCTATAACATCATTTTTTTCTTATGTAAATTAAGGACAACACATCCCAGCAGTGCATGGCAAAGTAAGGACTCAGGCAGCGATGGAGTTTTGCAGACTTTACCCAAGCTCCACTGAGAATGGCTTTTGGGCTCCTGTAATACAACAGATCCTGGTCAGCATCCCATAGGACACAATTTTGTGGTCTTGTTATTTGCCATGCTAAACATGTGTTTTCATTTGCTTAATATCTAAAGCTGTTTGTGCATTAATGTTGTGTGGTTTTCTAACCATACTGGGAAAAGACAGGCTTCTGAAAATTCTAGGCACTGTTTTTTGCACAGGTTCATGAGCCTCTCCCAGGCACTCACTGCATTTGTGTGCATCTGTTCCTTTCCTAAGTGAATTACTGAAAACCTTCAAGACTGAGAGAATTAAATATTCTTAAAATGTCAGTATAAACACAATGAAGGAAATTCTTGAGAAGAATTGTAAGCTGTAATTTTTTTTGAGTTCCTCCTGTACTAAACATTTTACAGAATAAACACAGACATGCCTCTCGCCCCAAGGAACCCTGTATGTTTTGCAGTCTTAACAAGAAATGAGGAAAGGATAGAATCAGCACATTTAAATCATATTTTGCCTTCAGCCCTAGTGTTCACTTAGTTAATTAAGTCAGTTTTATTTAAAGCAAATAAAAACATTATACCAGTTATTTTTCTATCCTTAGCTAAGCTGTAAACTCGTAAGTATTTTAGGAACATGTATATGACAATAGCCTCCAGATATGAAGGCTGTTAACAAGCTGACATGGAACACTTCTGCTTCTACGTGCTACAAGTGGAAGCACTGCAGAGGGACTGCAAGAATATGGATACATTTGGGAAAAATATGTTACAGAAGATGTAAGTATGACCAAGAAAAGGGCACTAAAATGACAGTTAAGCCAACTGAGACATCCTCTGAATTAATTAAGGATTTTATTATGGTGAAGCTAGAAACCCTATATGATTCCACTATCCTACTTGAAGTATCACAACAAAAAGAGTGTGCTAAAAAAAGCCAGCATGTATACTACATTTTCAAGATGATCATGGTGGGTAAATATTAAATACAGACATATTTAAAAGGGCATTTTTAAATGCCCTTCTGATTAGACAGCATGTGAAAATGCCTTTCTCCATCAAACCATGTCTATACCCTGTATTTATTCTGACCTATTTTCTTTTGCATCAGAAGTATATTTTCAATAATATTTACACAAGTTAATGTTGCAGTGTGTTTCTTGTTAATGGTATGTTCGGTTACTACCTAAGTTGATGGTTTGGTCCAAAACCAAACCCTCCCACCCCATGTTGTCAATCTATCCTCAGTCTCCTGTCAATCTGTTTTAGGCTCACTGCATGCTTGGAATTCCTCTTCGGAAGTCTCCTAAACTTAGACGCTTGATTAGTCCATGTGACCCAATTTCCCCCCCACCTCCCTCATTGGATGATGATTTTGTGAACCCTGCCTTTTACCCTCCCCAGGATATCTCTGATTAGCTGATGCTTTGTACCCTCCCTTTGAACCACCTCCCTATTTCAGCTGTTGCATGCTCGCATTTTCTGTCTTTTGCCCCCAAGATTCCCCAGAGCAATAAATCCTCTATTATCCCATGCAAAAGACCTCTCTCTCATCCTTGTCTCCTCAGAGCCCAGTCTGACAGCCAAAAAGCCATAAAGCAAGTGCTGTAGTCACACCTCGGGTCATCCTGCTCTGGGGTGTGACCCACTCCTGTCGCAGGCCGAAGTGACAGAGCCAGGTAAGCTCCAGCGAGATGCGATAAGTTAACAGTTATAGATTTATTTATAAATTCTGTATTATTTTCATCTAAGAGAAACTCAACTGTAGATTGAAATACAGCTGGAGACATTAAGGTTCTATTTATATGACTATTAGAAGAAAAAAAAAAAGTTAACTTATTGTTTGAAAAACATAAAGAGATGATGAAGTTGCTTAATTTCCAGGTACTCTGTGGAGAAAATCTGAACTACTGCAAAGCAACCAGCTCTACATGACAAAATGAGCAATCGTCTTGCTTCATGTACCATGGAACCAGACAAATCCCATACTTACTAGGCTGGCTCTTTAGCTGTGGAAATACTTTGAAAGGTGCATTAGATCAGGACCTACACAGAAAGATCACTACCCTTGTATATCTGGACAGTTTCCAGGGGTTAATTTTTATGGAATTATTATGAGATATTTCAGCAGAAGCTGAATCTGCACTATGTTTAACAGCTGATGAGAGAACTATCCTCAGGAAATTTCTCTAATCCAGTCTTCAGCTCACATAGGTTTCTGGAACCTAGGAACCTGGCGTAGTGCATTCCACAGATTAATATCACACCTGAAAGTACTTTGCCTTTTCAGTACAGCAGTTTCCTGACAATTTCCCAGACAGCCCTCTAGTTCCTTTGCTGCTGTTTTATTTTCTTCTTTCCTTTTATGATTTGTAGACATCTAGGAAACAGCCCATTCCAGCTGTCTCTTTTCCAAATTGAAAAGCTTTATTTAGTCATTCCTTGTATGGTATCTCTTCCTTATCAGAGTTATTCTTATTATCCTCACCTCTGTCATCTATGATTTTACAATAGTTTTTAAGATGACATACCCGGAACTGTATGAATAATCAACATATGGAAAAATCATGTAAGAACATATCTAGTCCAATGTTTTGCTTTGTTAGAGCTTTCTTCCTAAGAATACTATGACTTGGAAAATCACAGCATGGCATTTTTTCAGAATAAAAGCTACATATAAATTGATGTTATATTTGGTCACTTATTTTAAAACTAGTCACTTGCTAGCCATATGGGAATTTAAAAAGCAAAGACTTAACACTGAGAAAATTTAATCTGTCTTTTATTTCATTGCCCCCCTGAGTTTGTGCAAATAACTTATGGACTTTTTGACTTTGTTAATAGTGGCTGTGATGTAATTGAGATGTCTGAAGCCTAATGACAATGTAAGTAAACCACTCAAAATATGTTATTTTAGCAGAAATACTGATGTGCTTTGGTAATATGAAAGAAGATAGTACACAAATCAATACTTCCCATTCCACAAGTTCCATTGTAAGTATAAGATTTTAAAAGGCTCAATTCCAGTATTTTATATTCAATTTAAAATGTGTTTAAGAAATTGTGTGATTTAGTTTTGATAGGTTACACAGGTGTCCTGCTACAGTTAATCTTTTGATGTTTGTTAGCATCTTTTTTTTGCTGTTTCTTTGAGTGTATATTTTTAATATCTCTTTAGAAACCTCTGTTTTTCATAAGTATTGCAAAGGGAAGTGTTCATTACTAAAATCTGATAAAACAAAATAGAAAACCAATCAGTGGCATTACTTCACACATGCCATGGACATTAATGATACAATTGTGATTTATAAGGTCTTGGGTAACAATATCTTCTGTCACCTAGTAGCTAAGTTTTTAATCCATACAATTAAAATATATGCATATTGTCCTGATTTTCCTCTTCTTCATTTTGCAATCCAGACATCTAATTTCAAGCATCTGTGACATAGAAATTGTTTGTGTCAGAGAGGAATAGAAGGAAAAACAGCTATCAGCACCACAACACTGAGAACTGAGAATGTGGTCTCTGATGAAACATACTGAAAGGCCATTTCACAGAGACGCTGCCAATGGATTTTTAATGCCACCATTGCTGCCAAAGTACACTGCAACCCATCAACTTATTTCATATTGAGTTGTCTGTAGACCCAGTGTGGTATGCCAGATATGATTCAGCTGACTACATTCACGTAACATTAAATGTATGTGTTTTCAACAGAATAAAAATAAAATGCCGAGCTGATATTTCAAATAAACTTCTGCCTTTTCTGTGGAAACCATTTTACCAATTAATGTCAGGTATTAGGCTGCTGCAAAATTTTTTTTTCAGCTGCAATTTATTTATAATTATTGATCATGAACATTAAGTATTTGACATGTGGGTTGTAGCATGTAAAATGAACATCCTCTGAGACAATTTTGCAGGGTAGCTGTGTATTTGTATTGAAATGTAATCAACTGACTCACAAGAAAAAACATCCCTTGATTACATATGTTATCTTTGATATAAAAATCCTACAACTTGGAGTTTCTTTCTTTTGTTAAGATCAAAGGTGAACTGTACAGCTGTGTTAAATTTTAACCTCTAATGCCCCTGTCAGTGGTGCCTCACTTCAGTAAAAGAAGATGGGCACCAGCAGAAGACTCAAGCTTGGACAGAAAAGATTTCTTAAGCAGCATTAGATCATCTTCATCTATCATTCCATACTTAGGCCATCTTTGTCTCTACTGTCAGTCTAGGCCAACATGTTTGTCTGACCTCAGCAGGTTGCCTGCTGTGTCACTGGCAAAGTATTCCTAACACTGAGCCTTTCCTCCCCTTTTATTTCTCATATGCTTGTAGGGTCTAGGAGTAATCCTTTGCCTCATGTGTTTTTCCTCTATAAGTCTCTTCTTATCCTACTCTGCATAAGGGAATTGCTGTGCATTTTTAATATGTGCTTATAGTGAAATTCGTTTATGAAGTGGTCTTTAGCTAATCTTAGACCGAGAGAGTTATCATGGGATGCTCTTGACCTTTCCATTTTAGAGAATAATTCACAGCTGGGCACTTGGATTCAAGCTCTGTTTAGCAGAAGAAGAATGAAAAAGTTCACTGGGCTTACAGCATGAAAATGTTGGTCAGCATTTTATCCCAAAATCCATTTCCAAGGTTCTGGGTTTTTATTATATTTTTGGTTTGTTCGTTGTTTTGGGGGGAAATGTTGATGGTGGTGGTGGTTTTGTTTGTTTCCTTTGTTTTAGTTTGGGGTTGTTGTTCTTATTGTTTGCTTGGTTGTCTTTGTTTAGTTGGTTTTTGCTTTGGTTTGGGATTTTTTTTTGTGGGTTTTTTTTTGTGTTTGGGTTTTCTATCTCCCCTACAAATTCATATACATAGTTCAGGCTGGATTGAAATATTTTTGTTTCTATATGCTTCTTTCTCATTCAGAGATAATGTCTTAGTCACATGCACCTTTTACCAAGTGTTCAAGTCAAGTCCAGTCCTTCTGTCTAGATTTCCATATCCTCGAGTATGTTTGCATAAAGATAGGAGCAGAGTGTTTCTGTTTCAGTTAGGAAATATCTAAATTCAACAGTCTCTGCAAAATTTAAGCCCCTTCATTACCTAATGGGTAATTAGTATCCTGAACAGAACAACTGAAGTAAAGCACCAAGCTAATTCTGAAGAATCTCTCAAAACCACTGGAGCTGCATTAGCATATGCTTTAATCACCCACTAGCTGTCTGCTAAGAGAATTCCAGACCCCAGTTGTATAGAATTCTTTGCAAAACTACAGAGTATGTGTTGCACATCTCACAGTTAAGAAAGTGATGATTTAGATCAAATAAACTAATTACCTGTTGTGAACACATAATTTTATAGAAGAAGACTCAAAATTTCTTTCCATAAAATTTGAAGAAATCCTAGTTCAAATACTTCAGTTAGGCAGTTTCATGCTGCAAGAACCATGAAATCACAGTTCACAGAGTTTCTCTTTTTTAGCTTTTCTGGCTAGGATTCCTTTTATTGCAAGATTTTCATATTCAGAAACCAAGCTGTGGCATGCCTAACTGTTTACACAGAGCTTTCAGGGAGGTGAGAAGTGATAACTTTGTTTTCTTGCAACAGTATCCATCCCAAATCAGAAATAAACTTTTTTTCACAGTTACACATTGAGGGGTAACTTCAAAAAAGCGACTGCAAAATGCGTGCAGAGGTAGAAGATCTAAGTGCCTCCTCTGAAACCATTTTCTGTATGAACCAATATTTATACATAGTCCTGTACAATAACAGGGTTTGCTACCAATGCAACTGTATGTATGGGATAAAAATATTCTGAGAATTAGAGATTCTAATCCACAAACTGGGGGAAGATGGGTAACATTGGCAGGAATTTCTCTTCAACTTAGTTGACAGGGGGGGTGATAAACTGACTTTATTTCCATTATCTCGAAGAAATTTCCAAGACATCTCTAATTGTAGTAGAAAATTATGGCTAGATATTTACTTTCATCTTCATGCTATGACAATCAAACCATGTCCTAATTTGACAGATTTTGCATACTAACATAATTCTACAAATGGTTATAGGTCACAGGAGTCAAAAATAACCCTTCTGTGAAAAGAGTCAAAAAATATTTTCGTTGTTTGTTACAGATGTTTGAAATACATAGCTGTAAAATTATTTGTTAAAAATTCCTATGCAAATTAAGTGCTACTGTAATATTAGGAGCTGCTGGGGTTAAATAATAAATGGAATATCTCAGATAAAACATTAAGTGGTATTTTCTGTCCTTAATGTTATATATATAAAATATAATTAGGCACGGTGTTACTTGAAATAAGAAAACATCTCTTAGGAAAGATAAGAAATGGTTTTGAATGTAATAATTAATCTTTATACTATGTCTGCTAGGGACCTAGCAAAAATTAATATCAAAGCAAAATGGAATCTAAAAACCTTTATCATCTAGTTATAATTAAATCACATTTATTTAGCAAATATGGGGATTTGATCAAGTTGATTTTCAGAAAAGATTTAAAGGAAGGTGAAGGCAGTTGTCAAACCCTGTTAAGGAACAAGTTCTAGGATTTAGAACACAGTTCTATTTTCCTGTGTACATTTTGTGTTGGTCAATCTTTTTTCCACTCTCTTGTTCATATCTCTTATCTCCCAATCTTTATTTTCTAGAGCAATTACCATTTAGTAGCATTTTTAGTCCAACTAGAGCCTCTAAATATTATCTTTGTCTGAAAGAAAATAATACCACATATAAAGTACAAGTCCTAAAATAGTCTAAAGAAAAGAAGAGAGTTGAAGAAGAAGAAAAGAAGAGAGTAGAGATTTTGTGGTCAGGCCAGGTTGTAGGAGAAAAGTACAATTTGCCTTTAAACTGTAGCTGGTATTTTTTTCTAACTCTGTGGACAGAAATACATGCAAGAAATGGTCTGGGGAGATCATAGAGTCTTCCTTGAGGGGTGCTATTAGGAACAGATTAGAAAAGCACTGAGGAAGAATAATATAAGCACACTGATTTTCCAACCAATGAAAGAATTAGAAGACCTGAGAACATTGCTCTCTGCTCTGAATTTTATTATCAGATGCTAAAAGTGATAGCTCTAACTTTTCCTGATTCTTGTGCAATCTTCCATGTTTTCCTTGTAAAAAGTGTAGTGTCCTGCAGAGACAGCTGAGAAAACAGAGGCAGAGCTCAAAGTTTTGGTCAGAGAATTTGGATGGGTTTGAGGGATAAATATCAAGCTTTGCAAACAAATACCTAACTGTAGAATGATATCAACAAGTATTAATACTGTGCTATGAATCATACCCTTTCCTAGCAGTGCCATTCAGTAGTGCTCACACTGCAGAATGACACATTGCCATGCATTGGCTTTGACAGACAGTCTTTGTTACCTAACTAGTGCCCAAAATCTCTACAGTTTTTCCTCTTAAATTTGATGTATTTGCAAAATACTTTTAAAGCTAAGTAGAAAAAGGCTTCTGATTACTAAGCAATTCATTCCTCTAAGAAAAGAGAGCAGGTTTAATGTTTACTATTTGCATTGATATAGCACCAAGAAATAGGAAGAAACAGCTTAATAATGACTGTTAGAAAGAAAAATATAAGTGGAAAACTTCTTCCTGCTACTGTTACTCCTACCAGAAAATGCCCATGAAGTAGGTGTCAGGCAGGCATCAAATATGGTCAATATCAGTCTTGATATTGATTACATTTTGTTTTTAAAGACAATAAAAAAGAAAGGTTTCATCTATTGAACCATTCACGCTGACACAGGTAAGACTTAGAGCACTGTCGACTTGTTAGTAGTGAGCCTCCAGCCTTTCTTTCCTACAGTCAAATATTGTTTAATTCCAAACAGATCTGTTTTGAATTTGGACAGGGTTTTTATTTATACCTTAAAACAAATATTGTAGGAGTGAGTATTATTTTAGGAATTCATCAGAGACAAAGAAAAGAACAAGAGGATGGAACAATAAAGATCCTGGTAGAGTTTCTATTATCTCCCAAAAAATCATAACTACATATGGAAATTCTTGCATTTCAAATTACACAAGCTGCTTCATTATGTGAGCTAATTTTCAGAGTATAACTTTGAACAACTATTGGACAGTCTGCTTAGCATTTTAGTGGGACTACTTGAAAGTATTCTAATTAGAAAAACTAGTATAGAGCTGAAGAATATAGTATAGTCAACAGCTGATAGAAAAATTCAGAGGATTTACCTTATTCTGGTAAATACAGTGATCTGCTTTCTCAGTGAGCCTTTAGTAGATAAATAACATGCAGTCGGTAACAAAAACATCTAATGAACAGCCAGGGGCTTGACTCCTCTGATCATAAAATTACTTTGGCTGCATTTTTATGAAGAGTACAGACCAGTGTCTTGGGAAAACAAACAAACAAAAAATTCTAAGTAATATTTCTTCTGTTAAATTTCATTTGAAATTACTTCTGTTATCATATTTGACTCTAAATTTTAATATATATTGTGATACAATAAATAGCTGAAGCACAGATGTGCTGCAATTTACATATGGAGGAACTGATTTTCTTACTTGATAGAAAATAAAAGTTTTACATTCATTAAGCAACCTCATGTTACATCAACTTCAAGGGAAACTTCATCACAGTGCCCAGTAGGATGTTGCTATGTTATTTGAAAATCTTGGGTAATCATAAAGGATTCATTTTGCAAGAGATTATTCTATTCCTGTTTGTCTATTACTAAT